AGAAAGAAAGAAAGAAAGAAAGAAAGAAAGAAAGAAAGAAAGAGAAAGAAAGAAAGAAAGAGAAAGAAAGAAAGGAAAAGAAAGAAAGAAAAAGCATATGCCACCAAAATATATTATGCACTCTCTGCAAAGGAAGCCTCTGGAAGGATCAGGCCCATAATCTACAACACATGGTACATTTATTCCACAGTTTTTCATAAAACATTCTTTATGCTTTTCTCTATAAACTAGAACAAATTAGTAGCTCACATAATAAGCATTAAGAAGAGTCAAAGGTATTTGAGAACAAGTGGGAAACTCCAATATCAACAAATCACAAAACAAACGATAAAGCCTTAGTGGTTTAAACTGCACTGACACAGTGTGGCCAACGTGGAAGCTGGATCTTTATTAAAGTATTTATTTTTACTATGTGTCTGTGTATATCTGTGTGAATCTGCACATGTGCATGTGAGTGCCCAAGGAAGCCGGAGACGGGTGCTGGATGCTCTAGAGCTGGAGTCACAGGCGCTTGTGAGCTGCCTGACGTGGGGGCTGGGAACTGAACTCGGGTCCTCGGCAGGCGCAGTAAGCACTCTTGACCACTGAACCATCTCTCCAGCCCTGTGTTTTGTTTGGGGAGTTTTCTTTTTGAGACAAGGTCTCACTACATAGCCCATGCAGCACAGAACTTAACAATCATCCTACCTCTGCTTCACTAATTTACTTCAGTATGCTAAAAAATAAAGAAAAAAGAAAAAAGAAAGAAAGGAAGGGAGGGAGGGAGGGAGGAAGGAAGGAAAACCAGGCATGATTATGCACACCTGTAAGCCCCAGCAATTGGGAGGTAGAGGCAGGAGGATCAGGAGTTCAAGGTCATCAGCTGCTACCTAGAGAAACTGAGGCCAGCCAGAGCTACATGAGACCCTGCCTTTAAAAAAGAAACAGGCAATTAATGCTACACAATGAAACCCTGCCTCAAAAATTAAAAACTCTACCAAAACAGAAATAATAAAAATATCTATTAGCTGATGAATGGACAAAGAAAACATATATTGATAAGGCAGAATATAACTGAGCAATGAGAAGAAATGAAAAGTATCCGGTCCTTACTTATCTGACCATCCTGTAAAGAAGCAGGTCACAAAAGACCACATATATGATTCCACTCAGAAATATCTAGAGCATTCAGACACGCTAATGCTGGGGGAGGGGCGGCTCTAAAGTGACAACCAGTACGGCGGTGTCAAACAGTAGAAACTGATCACACGGCAGCTGTGCAGGGCAGAAGTCTAACAACAGTTCCCTGGGCAGCAAGAAACAGAAAGAAGTCAGCCTCCTGAGGAAAAGAAACCTTCCCCTGCCCCTTCCGCTCCCAGAGGCCGCTCCTTCATCTTGGCTCCTCTTCCCCTTCTTCAAAGCCAGCAGGGCCCAGGCTGACTCCGGGTCACCTCATATCACTCCACATCACATGACTGACATATCTTGACACATCACATGACTGATATATCTTGACACATCACATAACTGATGAGTCTTCCCTCTGTTGCTCTTGCTTTTTCAAGAATCCTTGTTTTCACACTGGCCCACATGGACAATACACACTAGTCTCCCCACTTGAAGGTCAACTGAGTGACAAGCTCAATTCCATCTGCTGCTCTCACTGACCTTCACCTCATAACATTACGCATTCGGGTGGGGACCACACATGGACTCTATATCAGTAATGTCTTTAAAAATATCTTTTGAAAAATCTAGCTATTGAGTCTATGAAAATACAACAGTCTAGTTATTCTACTTTACCATGTAACTATCCATTTTTTGTAACAGTTTATATGAGATACCGTATTTACCTGTTAAATTAGCAATGATCAAAAACAAGAAGAAAGAAAAGGAGCTGGAGACACAGCTCAGCAGTTACAGACGCTCGCTGCTGCAGCACCCATGTCGGATGGTTCAAACCAACACAGCTTCAGGGAACCCTACACACAGGAGTGCACAGAGACAGACAGACAGACAGACAGAGACAGCTCAGCAGTTACAGAAGCTCGCTGCTGCAGCACCCACGTCAGATGGTTCACTACAGCTTCAGGGAATCCTACACACAGGAGTGCACAGAGACAGACAGACAGACAGACAGACAGACAGACAGACAGAGACAGCTCAGCAGTTACAGACGCTCGCTGCTCCAGCACCCACGTCGGATGGTTCACTACAGCTTCAGGGAATCCTACACACACGTGTGCACACAGAGAGATAGACAGAGAGACAGAGACAGAGAGACAAAGACAGAGAGAATAAAACATTTTTTAAAGTCCAAAAGGTATTAAATTGACAACAGTGAGGAAAAACAAGGCCTCTGAGATATGGTGGTTCGCTGCATAAACTGGTAAAACTTCCTAGGAACAACCTGGCATGTCTACTAAAACTACAAATGCACACACGATCTGACCCAACAATTCCACTTCCAGGAATTCAGAGTGGAGATAAATTCGTATGCGTGTGAACTAATATGCAGAGCGCTATGAAGTAACAAAGCATTAGAAACAGTCTAACGCCCATAAGTAGGAAGCTGATTAAATGTATTTAAAGGCTACTCTGCAGCCATGAAAAAGAATAAATCAGGATCTATATGCTTGCTTCACTGGAGGGGAAAGCAAAGGAGAGGACGGTTTGATGCTGGCGTTTGTATTTACAGTTCTTTAAGACTAAGCAGGATGTGTGGAAATACCTTCACACTGCCTCTAAGAACCACAGGAGCCGCTACTGGCAAATGCAGCTGTAAGGGGATGGAGACACAGAATAAAAACTACTTCCGCCTTTGCCAGCTTCTGTAGTTTCTACCAACACACCTGACTCGGTGAAAGAACACTGGGAAGTAGCATGCTGACAGCCCGGGCTCGCACAGCCTGCTATCTCGATTTTCCGTCTCCAGGAAGAGTCTTACCTGCTGGTTGGTGCAGGAAAAGAAAACGAAAAGAGCTGATTCCAGAAGGGGTCGTTTTCAGAGACAGACTCAGTGCCTGACAGCTTTTGCAAGTACTCGTTCTTCGGAAGGTCACTGATCCTGCTGCTGTTCGAGCCCATCTTCTGTGTGGTAGGCAACTCGTCCTCACATGGGCATGTCCACAAGACAACCTATCAAAAATGGGAAGAATATTTCAAATCGTTCCAAATAAACACCACAGCTTCCTAACACTGAGCTAGACAGACACACAAACTACACCTCCTCTAGAGGCGCTCTCTTCATCTGCAAATACACTGAGCCTCGGGCACAAAATCCCAGGGGAAGAAATGGGATTATAACCTATCAGGGCCAGTACAAACACAAAAATGTCAATCTGTTGATCCCACATGTGAAGAGGAACATAACTCGGGCTGGAGAGATGGCTCTGCAGTTATGAGCACTTGCTGCTCTAGCTGGAGTACCAGAGATCAGATCCCAACACCCAGGTAAGGTAGCTCAGAAATGCCAGTAACAGCAGCTCCGAGAGAACCAGCATCCTCTTTCAGTCTCTATGGACATCAGCCCACACACATGTGCATACACTTGCAAAGATGCACACATGCACTTGAGTGAAAAACTAAAATAAACCTTAAAAAAACATAAACATATCCCTTCATGAAAAGTCTTGGAAAGACTAAGGATACAAGGGATATACATCAACTTAAAGATGAGAAACTCAAAGCATTTTCACTAAATCAGCAACAAGACAAGGTTGTCCGCTCTCCCCATACCTAGTCAATTCTGTCCTTGGAGTCTTAGAGCATAAGACAACTGAGGGAGACTAAGGGGCTACAAACAGGAAGGGAAGGAGTCAAATGTACCTGCATTTGCCGATGACAGGATTTTATACATAAAAGACACTAAAACCCTAGGCTCATGGCCTGTCTGCTTCTCTGAACACTGTCGGGCATGAGTTCCGTCCCGTGGCATGGGTCTTAAGTCCAATCAGAGTGACTGTTCACTCCCACGATTTTGTAGCCATTGCACCAGTGTATGATGCATTTTCACTGGTACAGAATGCAGATGAACAGAACAGGTAGTGTTTATTGTGCCGTTAGACTTTTCTGCATTTGAAACTCAGTAAAAATGTTAACAAACAAGTAAAAAGCTGCAGATACAACTCAAATAAGTAAAGAGTTACAGCTAGATACAACACTGAATAAAGTAGTCGGCCTGGAGGAGCAGCTAGTGGCAGAGGCTTGCTAGTGGTATCACACACACACACACACACACACACACACACACACACACACACACACACACACACACACACGTTGTTTGCATTTTAAAGACAGGATCTTATGTGGTTCAGGCTGGCCTTAAACTTGCTATGTAGCCAAAGATAGCTTTGAACTCCTGATCTCGCTACTCCTACACCCCATGTGCTGGGATTTCAAGGACTGTAATAGCAGCCCAGTACCAAGGCCACTGACGCTTAAGCTCAGAGTGACCAGGGTCCCGTCAACCTGGATGAACTGGAGTAAACGGCACTAAATCCTCAGGGGTTAGGGTCAGAGCTGTAAAACGTCTGGGTCTTAGACTAGCCCCTACGGACACAAAAGGACCCAGAATTGCCAAAACTGGAAGAGCTTCTCCATCCCACTCAAAATTCCTGTCTAGAGAGTACAAAAGGCCTGCATTCAACTGATGGGTCACAAAGTTATACATATACGTACATACGTGTGTGTGTGTGTGTGTGTGTGTGTGTGTGTGTGTGTGTGTGTGTGTGTG